AGGAAACCTAATTTCAGCCACTTGTATTCATGATCTCGTTCTTTTGGTTGTGAGCTGTGGGTGTCTGTGAGGGTGGACACAAAGGTCAAACAACTTCTGGCTTTGTTCCTCTTCACCGCAACAGACCGGTTTAGCAGCTGCATCACTGCAGGTGCCGCCCTGATCGAAGACCTCTAGATCCTCACACTCCTCTTGAGGCAGGACCTCCTACCTGAGCTCAGCTGTCCCATCCTCTTCTGGTGGAGAACGATGCTCTCAGATTTGGAGAAGCTGATCCTCATTTCAGCTGTTTCACACTCGAATGTGAACCTTGTAGAGCTGAAGGTTTGACCCAGCTTAAAAAACGTTCCCATCCCTTTGGCCTCTTCCCACAGCTGAGTGTAACAGCCCAAGCAGGATCACGCTCCCTAACATTTCTTGCATAATCCCACATTCCACGTTCTCCATGCGACCAGCTTCTGTTGGCCCATGAGCCCTGAGGTCTCCACCGCCTCGGGGCCACAGCCATGAGTTTTCTGCTCCGATGGCACCACAACACACTGAAGAGGAGTTCTCTGATTTCTCCCTGGCCTGTGCATAATCACGCACAGCCCATCTGTCTTTCAGATTTGATTTTATTGTTTAGAATAAGAAAGTTACCGAGTGAGAGAATGACGTAAACTAGAGCTGTGGAGGATTTAATGTTGGCGTTTTAATAAATTCCTATCTAGATTGTCAAAGAACCTCCAGTAGATGATATAAGAGGAGAATTAGAGTCCCAACACATGCCGTCGTAGGAAGCTTCCATGTTTTGGAGGAATGTAACATGACGTTTTTAAAGTTTAAGTCCCATTGGTCATCACACACCGGTGAAATTCATCTCCACATGTGACCCGGTAGCAGTGGCGGTGCTCGGGAACTATTAGGTAGTTTAACCCCCAATGCAACCCCCTTAAAGCCGAGTGTCAAGCAGGGAGGCACCGGGTCCCATTTTTAAGTCTTTGGTATGACCCGACCGGGATTTGAACCCCGATCTCCTAGTCCCAGGGCGCGCCGCTGAGAAGGTAAGACCAGGTGTAGACAACTCCCTTCCTGGAGGGCTGCTACCCAACATGTTTTAGTGGTTGGAGCAGAGAAACAACTAAAACATGCTGATACCGGCCCTACAGGAAGGGAGTTGACGACCCGTTTTAGACTCACGACATTGCATTTTTACTCTGTGAAATATTGAATTTGAAATATTTTAACTTAAAATACGCCAGCAAAAAATTTAATCATCGAAAATTCTACATTAAAATTTTATCAGCAAAAAGTCAACAAGAGAATTTGGACGTAATTTTTTTTACTTAATATACAGCAGTAAAATTTGGTTAGTCAAATTTCCACGTAAAAATTCAACAACCGAGGTGACATCCTGGTGACACGAGCCAAAGTAATCCTCACATGATCGAGTCAAGTGGCTTCTAGCCAATCAAACTACGGTCTCTCATCACATGACACCAGTGAGGCGTCAACTCAATCAAGTGACAATTGCTTTTTGCCGTTAAATCGATTGAAATTCATCATTTCACAGAATAAAAACCCAATATTATTTATTTAACGTCTAAAAGAGTCCTGCTGAGATGCTGTGGGGGTTTCCAAAGAGCAAGTCTGCTGACAGCAGGTGAGATTTAGACATAATTCAGACACAAACCAAGGCAGAGGAAAGATTTTCTGTTGAAAGCGAAACAGAAGATGTTTTTCATCTGCGTTGGAGGAACAAGATGTCAGAAGTTAGAAAGTCAGAAAATAAACAGACCTGGACTCGACTCGGCCAACAGCCGGAGCTAAAGATGAGCTTTCACCCCAGAAGCTGTTCAGGTCCTCCTATTCTCCATCTCCCCGAACATTTTTGGAATCTTTAGCTTAAAATCTAAATATCTTCTATTGTTAAACTGCAGCCGTCTGTTACAACCAGATGAACGTTGACTCCCAGCTGCAGCAGCTGTGTGGTGCGTAACTATGACGACTCGACATCAGTGAGTTTCATCCAAACACCACAATTATGTCTGGATAGAAAAAAATGACCTGCTTCAAATAAACATTTCAAATGGAGGCTTGATTATAACTGTGTGTGTGTGTGTGTGTGTGTGTGCGTGCGTGCGTGCGTGCGTGCGTGAGTGTGTGCGTGCGTGCGTGCGTGTGTGCGTGCGTGCGTGCGTGCGTGTGTGTGTGTGTGTGTGTGTGCGTGAGTGCGTGTGTGAGTGCGTGTGTGTGGTGTGTGTGTGTGTGTGTGTGTGTGTGTGCGTGAGTGCGTGCGTGTGTGTGCGTGTGTGTGTGTGTGCGTGCGTGAGTGCGTGCGTGAGTGCGTGCGTGCGTGCGTGTGTGCGTGCGTGTGTGTGTGTGTGTGTGCGTGAGTGCGTGCGTGCGTGCGTGTGTGCGTGTGTGTGTGTGTGTGCGTGCGTGCGTGCGTGTGTGCGTGCGTGCGTGCGTGCGTGTGTGTGTGTGTGTGTGTGTGCGTGAGTGCGTGTGTGAGTGCGTGTGTGTGTGTGTGTGTGTGTGTGTGTGTGCGTGAGTGCGTGCGTGAGTGCGTGCGTGCGTGCGTGTGTGAGTGCGTGCGTGTGTGTGTGTGGTGTGTGTGTGTGTGTGTGTGTGTGTGTGCGTGTGTGCGTGCGTGCGTGAGTGCGTGCGTGTGTGTGCGTGTGTGTGTGTGTGCGTGCGTGAGTGCGTGTGTGCGTGCGTGTGTGCGTGTGTGTGTGTGTGTGTGTGTGTGTGTGTGTGTGTGTGTGTGTGTGTGTGTGTGTGCGTGCGTGAGTGCGTGTGTGCGTGCGTGTGTGCGTGTGTGTGTGTGTGTGTGTGTGTGTGTGTGTGCGTGTGCGTGTGTGTGTGCGTGCGTGTGCGTGTGTGTGTGTGTGTGTGTGTGCGCGTGTGTGTGTGTGTGTGTGTGTGTGTGTGTGTGTGTGTGTGTGGTGTGTGTGTGTGTGTGTGTGTGTGTGTGTGTGTGTGTGTGCAGGTCATTTTGTTACATTTGCTTTTGTTTGTTTCTTTGACATGAACACGTGTTAAATTACAAACCAGCAAATTCTACGTTTTTAGTAACAGTGATTATGAATTCAGTGCATCATCAAACTCTTCGGGAAAGCAATCATAGCATTCGTCACGCATGATTCTTACGTCACGTTTGTTTTCAAATAATAAACCTAATCAGACGTGACGGATAAAAGAGGTTTAAACAGCCAGGGAGGGAAGAATTAGACCCATTTCCTGAAATAATCGTCATAGTGGTATTTTTAGAACAACTAATGAAAATGATTTAATCTTTTGTTGAACAGGCCGACCAATTACTCAGTGGAACATCCATAATGCATAAAACAAATAGTTGATAATCACAAAAAGAACATTTTGCTTTCATTGCTGAGTGGCTGTCGGCACGTCGCAACGGGCAACTTGTTTTCTTCTCCTTGGTCTGTTGGCGTGTGTGTGTGTGTGTGTGGGGGGGGGGGGGATGGCAGGATTTGGATCACTGAACTTAACAAGTCCTGAAGAACCGCTGAATGTGTCGGTTCTGATCCGTGCCAAAATCAAGCTTTAAATCCTCGTGATGAGGAAGAAATGTGCTCACAAGCCTGAATGTAACACTTACACCTTTAAACCTTAAAATAAACAGACCTTTACCTTTCATCTGCCACCTACTGGTTAGGAGGGAGAATGCAGTTAAAAGTCACAACTATTTTCTTGTGTCTCAAAAAAAAATATACCAATAATTACTTGGAAAAAAGAAAAAAAATATATGTCAAATTGTCTAGATGTGTTTTGTGTGTCTGATGAAGCGTTGGTGAAGTTGTCGTCTGTGAGGTCCACCTCACTGACATCCAGGTCGTAGTAAAATATTACTCTTGAAATGGACTTGATTAGGTCTTTATCAGAACACCTGAGTTAAATTAGATGCTGATTAACAGATTTGTGCTGAACTGGAGGACCATTTAGGGAGGTTCAGTTGTTAGAATCAGGTGTGTTGAAGCAGGGAAGAAGACTTAAACTAGAAATCATCTTCTTTCATCTAAAATGCTTAAAAATGGCTGTCCATCCATCCTTCCATCCATGGTCCTCCACTTATCCAGGGTCGGGTTGCGGGGGCAGCAGCCTGAACAGAGAGGCCCAGATTTCTCTCTCCCCAGCTACTTGGGCCAGCTCCTCCGGGGGAATTCTGAGGCATTCCCTGTCTAGCTGACAGACATGGTCCTTCCAGCGTGTCTTGGGTCTTCCTTTAGGTCTTCTCCCGGTTGGACGTGCCCGGAAAACCTCACCAGGGAGGTGACCAGGAGGCATCTTAACTAGATGCCCGAGCCACCTCAGCTGGCTCCTCTCGATGTGGAGCAGCAGCGGATCTACTTCGAGCCCCTCCCAGATGACCCAGCTTCTCACACTATCTCTAAAGGAGAGCCCAGCCACCCTGCAGAGAAAACACATTTTGGCCACTTGCATTCATGATGTCGTTCTTTCGGTCACCACCCAGAGCTCGTGACCTCAGGTGAGGGTAGGAACGTAGACAGAGAGCTTTGCCTTCCGGCTCGGCTCTCTCTTCACCACAACAGACCAGTACACTGCCTCCATCATTGCAGACGCTGCACCAGTCCGCCTGTTGATCTCACTCTCCATCTTTTCCTCACTCGTGAACAAGATCCTGAGGTAAACTCCCCCACTTGAGACAGGAGTCGTCCCTGACCCAGAGGAGGTATTCTACTCTTCTGACTCAAGTTCATGGCCTCAGATTCAGAGGAACTGATTCCCATCCCGGCTGCTTCACACACCTGTTCCTTAAGTCACCAAAATGGAAGCCCTCAACAGCTCGGCGGCACCTAAAATCCTGTCGATAAACTTTATGAACAGATTTGATGTCAGAAGCCTTTGCGGCGCCCACCTCACTGGGAACAAGCCTGACTTTGGCACCGATCGTACTGACACCTAACAGTCCACATCACTTTTGTTTTTGTTTATTAGTTTCCTGTGTCACTGTTTATTTTTCCCTTGAGCTCTCCAGATTATTCACTCAGCTGTTATCCATCTGCCCAGTAAGCCCAGCTGTTTTCCATCATATAAAACCAGTCAAATATTCAGTCTCTCAGTTTGGTTACCTGATCCCACTGTTCCCAGTTGCTACGTTTATTCTATGTTGGTTTTGTTTCAGGTGTGATATTTATAATGCTACTTTTATGGGGTCCACCATCCGGTTATAAGGATCGAATTGTTTACCGGGTCTTTAATGGTTTTCTTTGCTACAGGCCAGAGGCAAACCCAGCACATCCAGTGGTACTTCAAGACTAAATCCTTCTGCTCTGATTGGTTAGCCGAGAATTAAGAGTTTATCATCAGAGAACCATAAGCGTTGTTGGAGCTATGAGATAAAACTAAAAAGAGGCTGAAGGAACAGGCCCATGGTTCCCAGGACGCACACAGTCACGAACACCCAGAGGAAGATTCTGTCGATCACCATGGCAACATACTTCCAGTCATCTTCAACCTGTTAGTGACAGAGGTGACAAAACAGAAAGGACGGTGTTTAATATTAGTGATTCTCAGGGGTGCGGTGGGCAGGAAAAGGCATGTGGTCAACGAGAAACAACTGATTCAGGGTCAGTTTAAAGAGATTCTTCAGCCACTTTGAAACGTCATCCTACCAGTTATTTATCTACAGTAAGGACCACTTGGAGTGGTCCTCAGGTGGATTCTCCAAGGACAGAAAGAGGTCCTCCATCTGGAGTAATTTTCAGGGCTAGCCAGGTTAGCAACACATTAGCAGCTGATTTCTGGTGATTAAAGGTTGAATATGGAACACCAAGACCATAGTGCCATCTGGTGTGTGGAAGTTGTTGTTGCAACAATGGAACAAGGTTTCCTGCCGTCGGGAAGCCAGGCTCACTGCCAATTAGTGAAATTTTTTATTTGGGTCCATCTGTTGTAGGCTTCACCTAAACTCGCTCTGGATTTAGATCTTTTATGGTTGCTACTCTTCTGAGAAGGTCAACGACATCTTCTGGGCTCAGAAGCAACTACTTGACTTGCAGAGTTCACCATTTTCCACAGTGCTAGCCTCGCTGTGCCGAGCGGACTGGTTGGCAACCCACAACGGTGCCCTCTATTGGCTAGGAGATGTAAACATACACCTAGTGTTGTGCCCGTCAAAATAAATATTTGATTATTTAAATAACATATAGCTTTCAAAGAAAATGCTGTACCTTCTTTCTACACACCTCTAAATGCCCCGTGGTGGCAATATTTTTAAAAAATATAGTTTTTTATTAAATTGTTCTATATTCAACCTCTAAAGATGTCCTAGAATTCGAAACAACATTTACCTTGTTGAGGTTTGTCGTCTCTGACCTGCTATGTTAAGTTTATCTGTAGAAGGACAATACATAATAATGGAGATATATATATATATATATGTATGTATATATATATATATATATATATATATATATATATATATATATACATATATATATACATATATATAAATATATATATATATATACATATATATATATACATATATATATATATATATATACATATATATATATATATACATATATATATATATATATATATATATATATATATATATATATATATATATATATATATATATATATATATACACACACACACACACACACACACACACACACACACACACACACACACACACATATATATATGTGTGTGTGTGTGTGTGTGTGTGTGTGTGTGTGCGTCAGCTCATTCCGAGGACAACTGGAATGCACCATAATGCTAGCCTTAGCTACTGCCAATGCTAGCCTGAGCTACTGCCAATGCTAGCCTAAGCTACTGCTAATGCTAGCCTTGGCTACTGCTAGCACTAGCCTGAACTACTGCTAATGCTAGCCTTAGCTACTGCCAATGCTAGCCTGAGCTACCACCAATGCTAGCCTAAGCTACTGTCAATGCTAGCCTAAGCTACTGCTAGTGCTAGCCTTGGCTACTGCTAGCACTAGTCTGAACTACTGCTAATGCTAGACTTAGCTACTGCCAATGCTAGCCTGAGCTACTGCCAATGCTAGCCTGAACTACTGCCAATGCTAGCCTGAGCTACTGCTAATGCTAGCCTTAGCTACAGCCAACACTAACCTGAGCTACTGCCAATGCTAACCTTAGCTATTGGCAATGCTAACCTGAGCTGCTATTAATTTCTATGTTGGAAAAATAAAAAACAAGAAAAATGAATGTGGGAGAACACTTATAATGATTCAGGATGTAAAGGGAATATCCCGACAAATGCCAGAAATAGTTTGCCCATTAAGTTATCTGAATACTTTGCATGGAGTTACTAGCGTCGGGCAGAAGCCGAGTAGGCGAGCCAAACCAGTCTTTCTATTGTAGAGTTTTGTTATGTGATTGTTTTTGGTAAATTATCAGCGCTCCTCGGCCATTTTGTCCCCCGACAAAGTTTCATGTGTCATATAGGGATCAAAGAACAGTTTCCTATAGTGAAAATAAGATGTTCTAGAACCCGTTTTAAACTTTTTTTTTTTTTGCTAAAAAAGTCCCACTGATACATTAACACACTATATTGCCTGTTTTTACACCTCTACAGTTTGGCACTATTCGTTTATGCAGTTTGTTTCAACCCAACAGCATCTGAATTACGAGGCTCCTGCATGCGTCTCACTGCTGCAGCAGTCGATGGGGTTTGGGTTACACAGCAAGAGCAAAAAAAAAAAAGAGCGCTAACATTAATAACAGAAAATTGATGCATAATTTACAGAGAAACATTCTGATAATCACATTCAGTTCATTGTGTCAAACGATGCAACAGGCGTTTTGGCAAAGCTGATCGCAGTTTAGCGCATCAAAGACTTTTTCTCTCCTGTGGAACTTTATTTATGACTTAAGGAGCTCTGCGGCAGTGATGGAAAGAGGGCTGCCAGACTGCTACTTTAGTCAGCATGGAGAAGTTTTACATAAATGCATTATGCAACAGCTTTCCACGAGCTTGTATATATTATTGCGTTCCCTGTGTGACATGATTTTGAAAATAATTAGAAACAAGGTTATTTTAGGATTGTTTGTTCTATCCTAATAATAGGATTATATTTAACTCTCATGCATTCATAATTGACTCACAGGATTCACACATTGCAAGAAAGAAAACCTAATCTCTGTGTCATGGTCTGCGTCTCCTTCATGTGTGCTCCACCCCCCTCTAAGGATCCCCTTATGTGTCTCTTTGTGTTCCTCGTGTGTCCCCCACTCACCCCTCTGCAGTTACTCTATAAGGTTCAGCTTTTAATTTAATTAGTCTCTTTACTGTGTTACTTTCCCCGCCGGTTTTTGTAATTTTATCATTTTGCTGGTTCTTCTTGTGTTCAGGTTTTAGCTCTTAGGTCATGTTTGTTTCCTCTCCCTGATTTCTAATTGCTTTCACCTGGCTTCCCTCCCCACACACCTGCAGCCTATCTGCCCCTCATCACGCCCCAGTGTATTTAACCCTGTCTGCATCTGTCGTTTCATGTCACCCTTGTTTTGCTCCCCCTCTCTAGATTTTGGTTTTAAGACTCTCTAGGTTTTGTTATTTGGACCTTTTGGTGTTTGTTTTAGGCTCCCTGCCATTTTTGGTTTTGGTCATTAATAAAGGATTTTGTTATTTCTCCACCTGGTTGTCATCTGGCATTTCTGCATCGTTGGGTCCTAACCTCCTCCTGGCTCCTAACGTGACACTCTGATCATAAACAGGACAGGAAGTGAAACGAGCACATGAGTTAGTACTGTGGGGTTAAAGGAAGTGACCAAAATAAAAGCATGCGTTCCTCTGTCACGCTTCTACACCCAGAAGACCCTTTGTCTCCTCGTTTGCCCTGAACCGCCATCTGTCTCTGCGGCTCGGGCTGTTCAGTCTCACCGTTTTAAAGACTCACTGAAGCTCTCTGATGCATTTCAGACAATACTTCAATTAGAAGTTTTTTTTTAATATAACTTCTGTATAATTATGTGAAGTCAAACCAATTTTGAATCACCCAGATTATCTCACCCTCTCAGCCTCCAAACATCTGAAATAAATCCTGATTATGACCAACAACTCACGGGGTTCTGGCACACGAGTGTTTGGTGTGTCGGCTCTGTCTGAAAGTGTCTGCATCTGAGAAAATGTGGTCCAGGTTCAGGAGAAAATCAGGTTATTGACTGAATTCTGTCATCATCACCTTTAGCTTCTAAGGCAAAGGGAAGGCAGTGATGGGTGCTTGTTTCTGTTTGTATCTCATGAGTGACCGGATGGATTTTAAAGGTGTGCAACACAGAAAACCCATTTTTTCATGATTATTTCTGATTATGATTCAGAGTTTTTCATGAGCATGAAACTAGTCTCCTACACCTATCTCCTGCATTAGCTTCTGATAGAAAATACACAGTGACACTCTGGGATTAGAAGATCATGACGATGCAGCGTGGTTACTACACACCAGGATTGAACACTGTTTGCTTCAGTTTGGTTAGATCCTGAGAAAAGATCGGACATCAGCATATGAACTTGTATTATGCAATCGATAGAAGTTCATACACTAACTGTCTTGGTCTATATTTTAATCCAAAGATTAATGTTTAATTTTAAATAATTAAATTTAATAGCAAAAGTTTATTTATCGAATCAGAAGTTTAAAGGAATCTTTGCTTATTCAATAACCAAAAAATATCGACACCATTCTGTGTTTCATTTCAAAGAAGAGTCAGGTTTTTAAAAGTTAAGAATTTATTACTTACACTTTTAAAAATGACAATTTGAAACAGCTTGATATTAAAACTTGTAACTAAACAAACCTGTGTCTGGATGAAAAACTGAGGTGGAATGTGAGGCTTGGATGCGTGAATGAATCTCAGAAGGTTTCTTTCAGAGAGAGAAGCATTCTGGGTGGAAAACGTTGTTTTGCAGCTAACTCAGTTGTTTCTTAGAGAAAGCAGCATCGGACACCATCTGTGTGCTACCTCACCCATCAGACGACCCTCTGTGTGGATCCGGAGGTCAAAGGAGGATGTTGTCAGCCTCAGGGTACTCGGTCAGGTAGAGAAGACCCGAGTGGAACAGACTCTCTGGTCCAGAATTGTTGCAGTTATGGAGTAAAGACATGTGAGGTGGTTTACCCTTTACCCTGAATACACCCTCTGCATGAGGTGGTTAACGTGCAAGATGACCTTCTGGTTTACTGAACACACATTAAGATTATCATAAATAATAATTATTATTACCCAAAGCATATTAAGTCATTCCAGTAATTAAAATACATTTATAGTGAACCAAGATGATTATTTATGATGATTGTGATGAACAGTAATAAAGTCAAAGAGTTTATCAAAATTATTATTTAAAATTTATTTTGAAATCTTGAAGTGTCCTTCATCTTGGGAAGGAACAGCAGCAGATAAAGATGTTGTTTCAGCAGACATTACGGCTCCTGGGTTCATCTGTGGGACAAAGTTACAGCTCCACCCAGCTGGGAAAATGTG